CGGGCGGCGGAACCGGCGGGAAATTTGAAATTTTTAAAAAATGACATTTTTGCTGTCATTGCTTTTTCACTGCATTTCACATACATTTTGTCCCCACTGCTTTGTCCTGTGCCCTGCCTGCATTTTGACTGTTCTTTCTGCCTGGAAACTTAGAAAAGTCCATGGCGGCCAAAAAGCATCCCTTTACATCAAAAGCGGTTTTAGAACAGCGATAGTAAATCAGAACCACTTGCAGAATTGAGTGATAATGATTTGTGGGGAAATTCGTCATCAGACACTGAAAACGATTTTGCGACTTTGCTCAGCGATGTGCGAATTTGCCTCTGTATTTCAAATTTCAGTGTTTTTGGTTTGATTATATTATTGAATTAAATTTATTATTATATTATTTTTTATGATTATTTATTAAATTATAATTTATGATTTCGTGTTTCAAGTTTTATCATATCCGGAATGTTTAATAGACTCTTTTTCGGATAGATTTCAGTGAGTTATTCCTAAAAATTACAGCCTACAATTAAAAACTACATATTTCCATGCAAAAAAATGGTACCGCTTTCAGCACAAAATTCCTGACATGATCATACCGCCAGGGAGGTTAATATACACTTATTGATTTTTTTTGTTTTTTTTTACACCAAAGAAATACAGCAGAATACATTTTGATCTACATGTATAAAGAAATAATTAGTTTTGATTTTTTTTATTAGATATGTTTTATAACAGATAGTAGAAACAATTGTTTTTTCAAAAGTTTTTGTCTTTTTTCATTTATATAGTAAAAAAATAAAGAAAACCCAGTGGTAATCAAATACCACCAAAATAAAGATCTATATGTTATAAATTTAATTTGCGTACAGTGTTGCATGACTGCCTAATTGCCAGTTAAAGTAGTGCAGTGCTGCATAGCATAAAATACCCTGGTCATGAAGGGGGGTAAAACCTTCTGGAGGTCAAGTGGATAGATACAGGAGAGGAATGTAGTATTCAAATTAAAAAAAAATCTAAATGTATCTTAGTTTATATATGATTAGGACCACGGTGTCTGCAATTCTAAGCAGCCAGCTGAGGCAGTTTTCCAGAATTAATACTAGAAATTAGACTTTTTATCCAGACAAGGTAAATTTTCTTTTTTTTTTTTTTGCAATTGTCTTTTTATTGGATATTAATCAAAGAGAAAATAAAGGGCTTACATTAAAGTGTGGTATAACAGTGGTATAAAAAGTTACATCAAGAAACATACTGAAGGAGTTAAAGGATTAACGCAAGAATTACAAAGAAAGCCAACAAACAAATTCAGTACCTAAGTGTACGAGTACAAAACACATATCCCATGTCAGTTTTCATTATGTAATAAAACCAGGCATTAGTACAGTGCTAAGTAACAGTCTTGAGCCAAAGTTCAATACTAACGATTATATAGTTAGTCTGACTGAAAAAAAGACAAAAGTCCATCAAGTTAAACCATTAAAATAAATATATGTTATAATACTATAAATTTTAGTATCCAGTTATATTATGTGTATTTAGGAAAGAATCCAGGCTTTATTAAAGCAATCCCCTGAGGTGGCCAGAAATAACTCTTGAGGGAGTTTATTGCACATTTTCACAGCTCTTACTGTGAAGAAACCTCTCTGTATTTGGAAATTAAATCTTTTTTCCTCCAAACGTAAAGAGCATCCCCTTGTCCTCTGTGATGACCTTAAGGTGAATAATTCTACACCAAGTTCATTATATAGACCACTGATATATTTATACATGTTGATCATATCCCCCCCTTAATCTATTCTTCTCAAGAGAGAATAAATTCAGTTCCTATAATCTTTCCTCATAGCTAAGCTCCTCCATGCCTCTTATCAGTTTGGTTGCCCGTCTCTGCACTTTCTCCAGTTCCCTGATATCCTTTATGTGAATTGGTGCCCAAAACTGAACTGCCTATTCCAGATGAGGATTTGTACAGGGGTAAAATTATATCTCTCTCTCTGGAGTCTATAACGCTTTTATTACAAGAGAGGATTTTGCTCACTTTAGAAACCGCAGGATGGCATTGCATGCCATTATTAAGCTTATGATCTACCAGAACTCCCAGATCCTTCTCCACCATTGATTCCCCCAGTTGTACTCCCCCTAGTATGTATGATGCATGCATATTCTTAGCCCCCAAGTGCATAACCTTACATTTAGCAACATTAAACCTCATTTGTCACATAGTTGCCCAATTAAACATTGTATTGAGGTCGGCTTGTAAATTGGAGACATCCTGTAAGGACGTTATTCCACTGCATAGCTTGGTGTCTTCTGCAAACACTGAAATGGTATTTTTAATCCCAGACCCTATATCATTTATAAATATATTAAAAAGTAAGGGTCCCAACACTGAACCTTGGGGTACACCACTGACAACCCTAGGCCATTCAGAGTATGAATCATTAACTACTACACTCTGAATACGATCTTTTAGCCAGTTTTCTATCCATTTACATACAGATTTTTCCAAGTCTGTAGACTTTACCTTACACATTAGCCACGTGTGGGGAACTGTGTCAAACACTTTTCCAAAATCCAAGTATACCATGTCCACCACCACCCCTCTGTCCAAGGTTTTCCAAGGTGTTTAAGGTGCATTATTCACCTTTATTCTGTCTAAATATTTCTAGATAAATTTTGAGCCATAGTGGACCATTTGGGGCTATTTCAATATCATTCCCAGTATGGAAAAGATCTCCCCCATACACAGAGCTGAAGAAAGAATTTAATAAATTCACCTTTTCTATTTCCCCAGTCACCCCACTCTAGATTATTTTGTAAAGGGTCTACATGCTCGGACCTGATCTTTTTGCTATTAATATATTTAAAGAATTTTTGGGGGGTTTGTCATGCTATCTTTTTGCAGTCTGTTTTCAGTTTTTGCGGCCTTGCCTTCATTTTTACATGGCAGTTGGTAGGACAGAATATACAGTGTATACGAAACAAGAAAACAAGAGTAAACAGAGAAAAACAACAAAAAAAACTGCACACCTTCTTAGGAATATAGCTGTAAAAGATATAGTCAATGTGATCCAGGAGATTCATCAGAAACAGTGTCTGAAAAGGCATATGGTGGGTTATCCCTGTAAGACCAAGTGCGATCAAAAAGATCTAGTGAAAGCGGAGTTCCAGCCGTTTTTGTGTTTATTAAAAGTCTGCAGCTACAGTTTTTGTAGCTACTTACTTTTCCTTGTTCAAACATTTTATTGGGTTTAATGGTATAGAGCATACAGCAATATGCAAAAAAAACCCATTGACAATAAGGATAAGGGATGAAGACATGGGGCCTAATGGCCTATAATAGAGGTGCGGTTATTATAAATATAGAAGAAACCATAATGAGAGAGGAAGAAAAGAAGGGGGGGAAGAAAGGAGGAGGGGGAGGAGAGGAGAACGGGCAGATTGTGTAAATTCCAGGACAGAGAGGGGGATCTGGGACCGGACCCAGGCTACCCTCTGGTGAGGGAGGTTATTAGGGAAGGATCAACAATTCGTCGAGGCCCTGAGGGAGGAAGTGATCAACCCAAGGGGACCAAATTGACAGAAATTTAGGGATCGTGTCCGTGATGTTAGCTTCCACCTTAGCGTGTATCATCGCCTGTGTCACCTTATTTCGAACTGCCAATATGCACAGAGATGGTGTTTTCCAAGATTTAGCAATAATTTGTTTGGCAGCTGTTGTGATCTGCAAGAGAAGTTTATATTGCAGCTTAGAGATCGAGGGAGGTCGTAGATTAAGTAGGGCGATGTTCGGCGTGGGCGTCAATGGCTGTTGAATGAGAGTAGACAGCATGTGGAAGATACCAACCCAGAAGGTGTGAGCTACTGGGCAGGACCACCAGATGTGGGGGTATGTTCCCGCCATCGCACAGCCCCGAAAGCAGTCTGGGGAGTAACCTGGGGTATATTTAGCGATCCTTGCCGGGACTAGATACCATCGAGACAAGACCTTACAGTTAGTCTCAACCGCTACCACATTCTGTGAGGAGGATTTAGTTGCCAGCCAGATGTGGTCCCATTCTTCTGGGCTCAAATTGGAGCCTAGGTCCCTATCCCACTTGGCGACGTATGAGGGGCTGGGGGAGGACTCTGGGGTCGATAGTAGGGTATAAAGAGCGGAGAGGAGTTCTAGCCTGTGCGGATCTTTCTTGCAGGCGCTTTCAAAAAAGGTCATGGATCTAGCGGAGCATGAGGTGGAGGATAGAGGGGAGTAGAAGTGTTTTAGTTTGAAGGAAACGGAAGATTTCTGAAGCAGGTAAGGAGTGAGATTCTCGAATGGATGGGAAGGATATGATACCTATGTTGGTCAAGAAATGATGGGCTCTAAGGAGGTTTGCTGAGGACCAAAGTGTGAAGGAATGTGGGGAAGACCAGACTGGAGGAAAAGCCGGGTTGCGAAGGTAGGAGAGTAGGGGGTTGTGTGGTGATTGAAGGGGGTACCGGGATTTGAGTCTGTCCCAGAGAGTGATAAAGTGAGAGGTGATTGGGTTCCAGAGTGTACAGCGATCGGAAGGACAAAGCCAAAGTAGGTTAGCTAACGAGAGGGGGTCACAATCAGCTGATTCCAGAACAACCCAACTCATTGTGGGATCTCGTGAGATGCATGATATTTTGGGAGCTGGGCGAGATGCGCTGCATGGTAATATTTAGCAAAGTCCAGGAGGCCCAGACCTCCTCTTAACTTAGGAATGTGGATGGTAGCACGGGAGGCGAATAGAGCCCCAGATGTACGCGTGGGCGCGTCATTGTAAAGTGTGGAGATAATGAGCCGGGACAGTGATAGGGAGAACTCTAAAGAGATATAGTATCTTAGGTAAAATAGACATTTTGACCACTGTGATTAGAGATGAGCGAAGTATTCAAAAATTCGATTCGACTGATTCGGTGAATTCGTGGAAAAATTTCGATTCGAGTCGAATATATTCGCTGTGAATTTAACTTAAAAAAGGGTGTTTCTAGGCTTCAGAGAGCCTTTATATTAGTGCAGAACACTGTACCTTTAATTTAAATGTCCTTGGAGTCTGCTGGGGAAGAGAACTAATACTGTCAGTCAGTATGACATGCAGATGAGTGCCGTCGATCTTAGAATCACCGCACACTTCACTCATTTGGGCAGTCACGGGGCCAAAACCAGAGTGTGGAGCCACAGTGTGGCGGTGGAGGCAGCAGCAATGGGAGGCCATACAGCACCCTATGACAAAAATGGAAACCACCAGCAGTGTGAGGAGACCTGAAAGTAGCACATGGCAGAGTGTGGCGATAGAGACAGCAGCAATGGGAGGCCGTACAGGGACCCATGACACACTCTGGACCTGGCAGCAGCATGAGGAGGCGGTACAGGGGCCCATGACAGATTACGGGCCTGGCAGCAGCATGAGGAGTCGGTACGGGGGCCCATGGCAGATTACGGGCCTGGCAGCAGCAATGGGAGGCCGTACAGGGACCCATGACACACTCTGGACCTGGCAGCAGCATGGGGAGGCGGTACAGGGGCCCATGACACACTCTGGACCTGGCAGCAGCATGAGGAGTCGGTACGGGGGCCCATGACACACTCTGGACCTGGCAGCAGCATGAGGAGGCGGTACAGGGGTGCATGACAGATTACGAGCCTGGCAGCAGCAACTTGGACAGGAGGACGTTCAGCTTCTGCACCGTCGGGTGCGTGCTCGCAAACTGTTGTCTCTTGGAAACGGATTCCAAGAAAGACTGCTGACGGAATCCGTGAAGAGGAGTAGCAGGAGAAGGAGCATCTGAACGAGCGGAATATGCCAACAAGCGACAACAGGGGCCCATGACAGATTACGGGCCTGGCAGCAGCATGAGGAGTCGGTACGAGGGCCCATGGCAGATTAGGGGCCTGGCAGCAGCTATGGGAGGCCCGTAATCTGCCAGCACCCTATGACAAAAAATGGAACCCACCAGCAGTGTGAGGAGACCTGAAAGTGGCACATGGCAGAGTGTGGCGATGGAGACAGCAGCAATGGGAGGCCGTACAGGGACCCATTAGAGACTCTGGACCTGGCAGCAGCATGAGGAGGCGGTATAGGGGCCCATGGCAGATTAGGGGCCTGGCAGCAGCTATGGGAGGCCCGTAATCTGCCAGCACCCTATGACAAAAAATGGAACACACCTGCAGTGTGAGGAGACCTGAAAGTGGCACATGGCAGAGTGTGGCGATGGAGACAGCAGCAATGGGAGGCCGTACAGGGACCCATGACAGACTCTGGACTTGGCAGCAGCATGAGGAGGCGGTATAGGGGCCCATGGCAGATTAGGGGCCTGGCAGCAGCTATGGGAGGCCCGTAATCTGCCAGCACCCTATGACAAAAAATGGAACACACCAGCAGTGTGAGGAGACCTGAAAGTGGCACATGTTTGGGGCATGATTCATGGCGGATTTAGTCAGTTGTGTCAGGAACTGGGTGGTTTGAAATCCAGACTAATCCACGCCTGATTCATTTTCACAAACGTGAGTCTCTCCACACTTTGGGTGGACAGTCGTGTCCTCCGCGGAGTTGCAATACCTCCTGCCGCACTAAACACGCGCTCCGATGCCACGCTACTGGCCGGGCATGACAGCCTTTCAAGGGCAAATTCAGCTAGTTGGGGCCAAAGGTCAAGTTTCGTTGCCCAGTAGTCAAGGGATTGTCTACCTCGGTTGGCAGGGTGCTGTCCAAGTAGGCCTAAGCCTGTTGTTTGAGGTCCTGCTCCAAGTCCACCTGATGCTGCTGCTGCTGCGGCTGGTTAGTAGTTTCCTCACTGCGCTGGTGAAGAAAGCTACTCATCATCGACTGCAGACTGAGGCAGCCGCTGCTGGCTGTGGAGCTGCCACTGCTCCTACCACCCCCCCCCCTCCCCTGCTGCCATGGCAGCGGAACGCGAGCGCACAGGGCCCACAGTGTCTGAGGATGGACGTTGGCGCAGACAGGCAGAGACCAGCTGACTACATAGGTGGTTTTTATAGTACGTTATTTTGGCCTCCCTCTCAGCAGGTGTGAAAAAGGCCACCATTTTTGAACGGTAGCGAGGGTCCAACAAGGTGGACAGCCAAAAGTCATCCCTCTGTCTGATGGTTATTATTCGGCTGTCGCTACGCAAGCAAGCGAGCATGCTATGGGCCATTTGTGCCAAGGAATGCGAGGGACTCCCTGCCTCCATCTCCACAGCATACTGCCACGGTGCGTCTGGGTCCTCTGTCTCCTCTTCCTCCTCCTCTACCAGATGCTCCTGCTCCTCCACTCCTGTCCGCTGAGTGGAAAAACCACCCATTTCACTCAATAATTCCTGAGCACCAATGTCCTCCTCTACCTCCTCCTCTTCTTCCTGTCCTGCCCCCACAGGGGTCATGTGGCGTTGAGATCTGTGCGCCACGTCTACCGCACCCTGACCAGCCATTGTTAACAGCATTTGTTCCAGGACGTGCAACAGAGGAATGACGTCGTTCATCCCATAGTCCTGCCGACTCACGAATAGCGTGGCCTCCTCAAAGGGGCCTGAGCAAGCGCAGGTGTCACGCATGAGCTGCCAATGGCTGACATCTAAGTTACACAGGGAGTACCTTTATCCGCTTTTAACATCAGGAAATCTGTGATGGCCTTTTGCTGTTCGTAAAGGCGGTCTAACATATGTAGGGTTGAATTCCACCTTGTTGCAACGTCAGCAGCATGAGGAGTCGGTATAGGGGCCCATGGCAGATTAGGGGCCTGGCAGCAGCTATGGGAGGCCCGTAATCTGCCAGCACCCTATGACAAAAAATGGAACACACCAGCAGTGTGTGAGGAGACCTGAAAGTGGGACATGGCAGAGTGTGGCGATGGAGACAGCAGCAATGGGAGGCCGTACAGGGACCCATGAGAGACTCTGGACCTGGCAGCAGCATGAGGAGGCGGTATATAGGGGCCTATGGCAGATTAGGGGCCTGGCAGCAGCTATAGGAGGCCCGTAATCTGCCAGCACCCTATGTCAAAAAATTCAACACACCAGCAGTGTGAAGGAGACCTGAAAGTGTGGCACATGGCAGAGTGTGGCGATGGAGACAGCAGCAATGGGAGGCCGTACAGGGACCCATGAGAGACTCTGGACTTGGCAGCAGCATGAGGAGGCGGTATATAGGGGCCCATGGCAGATTAGGGGCCTGGCAGCAGCTATGGGAGGCCCGTAATCTGCCAGCACCCTATGTCAAAAAATTCAACACACCAGCAGTGTGAGGAGACCTGAAAGTGGCACATGGCAGAGTGTGGCGATGGAGACAGCAGCAATGGGAGGCCGTACAGGGACCCATGAGAGACTCTGGACTTGGCAGCAGCATGAGGAGGCGGTATATAGGGCCCATGGCAGATTAGGGGCCTGGCAGCAGCTATGGGAGGCCCGTAATCTGCCAGCACCCTATGTCAAAAAATTCAACACACCAGCAGTGTGTGAGGAGACCTGAAAGTGGCACATGGCAGAGTGTGGCGATGGAGACAGCAGCAATGGGAGGCCGTACAGGGACCCATGAGAGACTCTGGACCTGGCAGCAGCATGAGGAGGCGGTATATAGGGGCCCATGGCAGATTAGGGGCCTGGCAGCAGCTATGGGAGGCCCGTAATCTGCCAGCACCCTATGTCAAAAAATTCTGCCAACCCTACAAAAAATTCAACACACCAGCAGTGTGAGGAGACCTGAAAGTGGCACATGGCAGAGTGTGGCGATGGAGACAGCAGCAATGGGAGGCCGTACAGGGACCCATGAGAGACTCTGGACTGGCAGCAGCATGAGGAGGCGGTATATAGGGGCCCATGGCAGATTAGGGGCCTGGCAGCAGCTATGGGAGGCCCGTAATCTGCCAGCACCCTATGTCAAAAAATTCAACACACCAGCAGTGTGTGAGGAGACCTGAAAGTGGCACATGGCAGAGTGTGGCGATGGAGACAGCAGCAATGGGAGGCCGTACAGGGACCCATGACAGACTCTGGACTTGGCAGCAGCATGAGGAGGCGGTATATAGGGGCCCATGGCAGATTAGGGGCCTGGCAGCAGCTATAGGAGGCCCGTAATCTGCCAGCACCCTATGTCAAAAAATTCAACACACACAGCAGTGTGTGAGGAGACCTGAAAGTGGCACATGGCAGAGTGTGGCGATGGAGACAGCAGCAATGGGAGGCCGTACAGGGACCCATGAGAGACTCTGGACCTGGCAGCAGCATGAGGAGGCGGTATATAGGGGCCCATGGCAGATTAGGGGCCTGGCAGCAGCTATGGAGGCCCGTAATCTGCCAGCACCCTATGTCAAAAAAATCAGCTACAACACACCAGCAGTGTGTGAGGAGACCTGAAAGTGGCACATGGCAGAGTGTGGCGATGGAGACAGCAGCAATGGGAGGCCGTACAGGGACCCATGAGAGACTCTGGACTTGGCAGCAGCATGAGGAGGCGGTATATAGGGGCCCATGGCAGATTAGGGGCCTGGCAGCAGCTATGGGAGGCCCGTAATCTGCCAGCACCCTATGTCAAAAAATTCAACACACCAGCAGTGTGGAGACCTGAAAGTGGCACATGGCAGAGTGTGGCGATGGAGACAGCAGCAATGGGAGGCCGTACAGGGACCCATGACAGACTCTGGACCTGGCAGCAGCATGAGGAGGCGGTATATAGGGGCCCATGGCAGATTAGGGGCCTGGCAGCAGCTATGGGAGGCCCGTAATCTGCCAGCACCCTATGACAAAAAATGGAACACACCAGCAGTGTGTGAGGAGACCTGAAAGTGGCACATGTTTGAGGCATGATTCATGGCGGATTTAGTCAGTTGTGTCAGGAACTGGTGGTTTGAAATCCAGACTAATCCACGCCTGATTCATTTTCACAAACGTGAGTCTCTCCACACTTTGGGTGGACAGTCGTGTCCTCCGCGGAGTTACAATACCTCCTGCCGCACTAAACACGCGCTCCGATGCCACGCTACTGGCCGGGGCATGACAGCCTTTCAAGGGCAAATTCAGCTAGTTGGGGCCAAAGGTCAAGTTTCGTTGCCCAGTAGTCAAGGGGATTGTCTACCTCGGTTGGCAGGGTGCTGTCCAAGTAGGCCCAAGCCTGTTGTTTGAGGTCCTGCTCCAGGTCCACCTGATGCTGCTGCTGCTGCTGCTGCTGCGGCTGGTTAGTAGTTTCCTCACTGCGCGCTGGTGAAGAAAGCTACTCATCATCGACTGCAGACTGAGGCAGCCGCTGCTGGTGGAGCTGCCACTGCTCCTACCACCCCACCCCTCCCCTGCTGCCATGGCAGCGGAACGCGAGCGCACAGGGCCCACAGTGTCTGAGGATGGACGTTGGCGCACAAAGGCAGAGACCAACTGACTACATAGGTGGTTTTTATAGTACGTTATTTTGGCCTCCCTCTCAGCAGGTGTGAAAAAGGCCACCATTTTTGAACGGTAGCGAGGGTCCAACAAGGTGGACAGCCAAAAGTCATCCCTCTGTCTGATGGTTATTATTCGGCTGTCGCTACGCAAGCAACCCGAGCATGCTATGGGCCATTTGTGCCAAGGAATGCGAGGGACTCCCTGCCTCCATCTCCACAGCATACTGCCACGGTGCGTCTGGGTCCTCTGTCTCCTCCTCCTCCTCCTCTACCAGATGCTCCTGCTCCTCCACTCCTGTCCGCTGAGTGGAAAAACCACCCATTTCACTCAATAATTCCTGAGCACAAATGTCCTCCTCTACCTCCTCCTCTTCTTCCTGTCCTGCCCCCACAGGGGTCATGTGGCGTTGAGATCTGTGCGCCACGTCTACCGCACCCTGACCAGCCATTGTTAACAGCATTTGTTCCAGGACGTGCAACAGAGAGGAATGACGTCGTTCATCCCATAGTCCTGCCGACTCACGAATAGCGTGGCCTCCTCAAAGGGCCTGAGCAAGCGGCAGGTGTCACGCATGAGCTGCCAATGGCTGACATCAAAGTTACACAGGGGAGTACCTTTATCCGCTTGTAACATCAGGAAATCGGTGATGGCCTTTCGCTGTGTTCGTAAAGGCGGTCTAACATGTGTAGGGTTGAATTCCACCTTGTTGCAACGTCGCAGATCAGGCGATGCTGTGGAATTCCGTTCTGCCGCTGCAGCTCAAGGAGGGTGTGCTTTGCGGTGTAGGAATGGCTGAAATGCATGCAAAGTTTACGTGACATTTTAAGGATGTCTTGCAGTGGGATGGTGGATTTTAGGAACCGCTTGACAACCAGATTGAACACGTGAGCCATGCATGGCGCATGGCACAACCTTCCTTGACGCAGAGCAGACACCATGTTCTTTCCGTTGTCGGTCAACATGGTTCCGATTTTGAGTTTGCGCGGAGACAGCCATCTGTCGATTTCTCTGTTCATTACACTGAGAAGTTCCTCCCCTGTGTGACTACGTTCGCCAAGGCATACCAGGTGCAGCACAGCGTGACACCGTTGCGCCCTGCACATGTGATATGCCGGTCGGGTAATGGGACTTGGCACGGGGTGGCGGCTGAGGACACGGCGGAAGAAGAGGTGGTAGAGGCGGACATCTTTGCCGGACCAAGGACGTGCAAACGTGGAGGCAAAAGCGGCGTGACCTGTCCAAGTTGCTGGTGCGGCTGTGACGGCACCACGTTCACCCAGTGGGCCGTAAATGACATGTACTGTCCCTGACCGTAGTTACAGCTCCACACGTCGGCGCTGCCGTGCACTTTGGCAGAGACCGACATGCTCAAAGACTGGCCCACCATCTCTTCTACATGTGAATGCAGGGCTGGCACTGCCTTTTTGGCGAAGAAATGACGGCTTGGCACTCTCTCCACCGCGGCGCGGCACAAGCCATCATTTCTCGGAAAGGTGCTGAGTCCACCACTTGGAAAGGGAGGGACTGCAGCACCAGCAACTTGGACAGGAGGACGTTCAGCTTTTGCACCGTCGGGTGCGTGCTCGCAAACTGTTGTCTCTTGGAAACGGATTCCAAGAAAGACTGCTGACGGAATCCGTGAAGAGGAGTAGCAGGAGAAGGAGCATCTGAACGAGCGGAAGATGCCAACGAGCGACAACTCCCCTCAGCAGAGGTGTTGGAGCCTTGACTGGCTGATGGAGGGCGATTGACGTCGGGTGACGGAGCAAGTAACGGAGCGGGTGATGGAGCGGGGGCTGGGGCGGGCAGAACCGCCGTATCTTTATCACGGTTTTCCCAGGCCACCAAATGGCGACGCTGCATATGCTGCCGCAACGCTGTAGTCCCAACATGGGCCCCCTGGCCACGCTTGACTTTCTGGCCACATAGTCGACATACGGCTACGTTTACTTCCTCGGGCGGCTTGACAAAAAATTGCCACACCCGCCGAGTAGGAAACTTTGCCCCCGATACTCCTCACTGGCTGACTGCTGCTTCCTCCGTGCACACCGGCACCACTACTGGCCGTGGTGGTAGGCTGCAGTGGAGCTGGTGCTCTACTCCGTGGCCGTTTGGCTCCACTGACACTGCTGCTGCGACCCTGCTGCTGTCTCCTGGGCAACCCACCGACTGTTTTGCTCGCTGCCAAGCTGCCACCCTCTTCTCCTGATGATGCGGAAGAAATTGCCTGATGACGACGAGGCTGCCAAGTGCGATCAACCTCCTCATCATCAAGTAGGGTCTCCGCCTCACTACTAGCCCCCTCGGCTGCGTCTGGGGTCAGGAGACAGACCTGTCTCTAGACCGGCTACCGAGCCACTCTCCTCGCTCTCCCTACTACTTCTTCGCCTGGCTGCTGAAAAGGCGGATGTCTCCCCCCCCGTTCCTGACCGCCCTCTGTTAGCTCTTCCTCACTGTACAGTGGGGCTGAGCCCACAGCATGCGATACTTCGCTTGGTGAGGGAACACCAAAGGACAGGGGCAGGTAGAGGACACGTGATTTCAGTGGGCTTGGTCCCCCGGCCATGCCAACTAACGGTTGTGTCTGACGTACCCACCGACCGTTGGCTGTAGGTGTCAGAGGTGACCTGGGAAGAGGAAGACGACCGAGCCAACCAATCGACGACGGCAGGGTTGTCGGTGGAGACACGACCGCTGGATGACACCGGGAGCACTGGCCTCTGGCTGCGAATAGTGCTGCCTCGACCCCTTCCTCTGCTGCCACGTCTGCTCGCTCCTAAAACATTGCCTCCTCTGCCACTCCTCTGCATGTTGTCTGACATACTCTTTAATTCAATCTGTGTCCCTGAGTAACAATTCTGTGGTCCCTGTGTCCCTGAGTAACAATTCTGTGTCTGTCCCTGAGTAACAATTCTGTGGCCCTAAGTAACGGTTCTGTGGCCCTCAGTAACAATTCTGTGTCTGTCCCTGAGTAACAATTATGTGGCCCTAAGTAACAGTTCTGTGGCCCTCAGTAACAATTCTGTGTCCCTGATTAACGTTTATGTGGGACCCTAAGTAACGGTTCTGTGGCCCTCAGTAACAATTCTGTGTCCCTGAGTAACAATTCTGTGTCCCCGAGTAACAATTCTGTGGCCCTAAGTAACAGTTCTGTGGCCCTCTGTAACAATTCTGTGTCCCTGAGTAACAATTCTGTGGACCTAAGTAACAGTTCTGTGGCCCTCAGTAACAATTCTGTGTCCCTGAGTAACAATTCTGTGGCCCTAAGTAACGGTTCTGTGGCCCTCAGTAACAATTCTGTGTCCCTGAGTAACAATTCTGTGTCTGTCCCTGAGTAACAATTCTGTGGCCCTAAGTAACAGTTCTGTGTAACCTCAGTAACAATTCTGTGTCCCTAAGTAACAAATCTGTGCCCTAAGTAACGGTTATGTGGCCCTCAGTAACAATTCTGTGTCCCTAAGTAACAATTCTGTGGCCCTAAGTAACGGTTCTGTGGCCCTCAGTAACAATTCTGTGTCCCTCAGTAACAATTCTGTGTCCCTCAGTAACAATTCTGTGTCTGTCCCTGAGTAACAATTCTGTGTCCCTCAGTAACAATTCTGTGTCCCTGATTAACGTTTCTGTGGCCCTAAGTAACGGTTCTGTGGCCCTCAGTAACAATTCTGTGTCCCTGATTAACGTTTCTGTGGCCCTAAGTAACGGTTCTGTGGCCCTCAGTAACAATTCTGTGTCCCTCAAGAAACAATTCTGTGTCTGTCCGTGAGTAACAATTCTGTGGCCCTAAGTAACGGTTCTGTGGCCCTCAGTAACAATTCTGTGTCCCTGATTAATGTTTATGTGGCCCTAAGTAACGGTTCTGTGGCCCTCAGTAACAATTCTGTGTCCCTGATTAACGTTTCTGTGGCCCTAAGTAACGTTTCTGTGGCCCTCAGTAACAATTCTGTGTCCCTCAGTAACAATTCTGTGTCTGTCCCTGAGTAACAATTATGTGGCCCTAAGTAACGGTTATGTGGCCCTCAGTAACAATTCTGTGTCCCTGAGAAACGTTTCTGTGGCCCTAAGTAACGGTTCTG